CCCTTCATCCAGAGTCCCCCATTGTTAATATCTTATACCAGTAATACCTTTGCCAGAAATAAGAAACTGATATTGACACATTACTATTCACTGACTTTAGACTTTATTTGGATTTCACTAGTTTTCATTCATGTTTTCTTTCTGTTCCAGGATGAAACTCAGGGTACTGTTTTGCATTGAATTGTCACATCTCTTTAGTCTCCTCTGATCTGTGATAGTTTCTTAGTCTTTCCTTGTTTCTTATGACCTTGACAGTCTTGAGGAGTACTTGCCAGTGCTCCTGGAGTTTTAAATAAAAATAAAACAGAGGTGAAGTCCCCTTTATTGCTCTATCACAATTTTGCATGTTTATGACAGTTTCTGATGAACAGTTGATGTTGTAGTTAGAGATAAGTCAAATAAGACTAAAATTAGGCATACTGGTTGCCAACAAGTAGAAAGACAGGACAATAGATGTGTAGGCTCTGCCAGCCATGGCAGTTCTACCACATGAAGTAAAGACAGTTCAGATGTGTGGGATCACAGCACATAACTGGGGATAGAATTGTAAGTGTAAGTGAAGCAAGGAAGTAAAGGTGAAGCCTAATATTGTCTGTTGATTAGCTTTTTTATCATTCCACTTCCCTCCAGCCTCCTAATATGTAACAAAAAAAAAATTACCTGAATTAGAATGCCACGAGGACAATGAGAAGAAGACAATAAACTACTGTTAAACGAATTTCTCCCTCAAGTCCTAGAATCCTGGATTTTCAGAGCAGGCTATCTATTTTTTATATTAGTCAGGGAAGTTGTTTATGCTGCAGAAATGAACAAGCCCAAAATCTTGGTATATAAAATAACTAGCTCTGCATGTCCATCACAGGTAGGGAGAAGTCCAGGCTGATGGAGGCTTTACCATCCTGAGACATCACCATGATTTTCAGTGTGTGTAGGGTCAGAGGGAGGAAAGAAAGGAGGATCACGCAACAGCATTTAAATGTCCCTCTCATGTCAATGGCCAAAGCAAGTCACATGGCTTTGCCTAATTTTAGGGGGGTAAGGAAATAAAAATCTTCCTATGTGTCTAGGAATCGGAGATACTGATGAGCACCGGAAATACTGCTCAGCATTCATTTTATTTATCACAAATCTCTTCAGAATATGCTACCCCAAATGTGCCATTTGAACATAAGGATAATTTTTATCTGGAGACAATTAAGAACCAATAGATGTAGAAACGAAACCTTGCTGGAGTTTCCTTGATATGACTAAGAGCAGAACTTCTGAAAAATGAGGACTGCCATGAATTTTCTTTGCTGGGGAAGTTTTATTGCCATAAAAAAAATGGAAATTTGGTGCCGGATGGACTTGCACATGCAAACTTTATTCCACTAGTTTCCCACATATGTTTACCTTCCCACAGTTTACCACCCTTGAAAGCCTAAATTACTTTTCCTACTTCTTGTTGCTTCTCTACAAATTAATGTATTTTTGTTAAGATAGAAGCCCAAGTTCTAACCACCTCGAGTTACTTTTCATTGAGGTTTCTTCTATATAACATACACTGTGTACATTAATAAATTCTTTTTCTCTTGTTAATCTTTTGTCAGTCTAATTTTACAAGGTCCCAACTGGGGAACTAGGAGGGTAGAGGGACAGGAATTTTTTTCCTCCCCTAAGCCAATGTCAAGAGGCCTTTGTAAGAATATTGCTCTCTTGCCATATGCAACGTGGTGAGGACAAGACAAATGTAGCTCCATAAAGAAGCTCTGGTGGAATGGGAAATCATATTTTGGAACTACTTTGTCTTCTCCTGATACCTGGTAACATTTATGGGTCTGAGAACCAGATAATTGACCCCTTTCTGGATTATGGCTCTTATGTATGTTAACCAAAACCTCTGAAGGACCTAAAGAAAGGTATTCAGGGAAGAAGAGGAAAGAAAAGGCACTGAGATTTGATAGGGATATATTTGAATCCATGAGAAACTGTTCCTACATTGGCTTTTCATGGCTGGCTTTGGATTCAGCCAATGCAAGGCAGAGTAAGAATGAAAAGGAAATAAAATAAAAAAGATTGTAGGAGGCCATAATGAGACTAGTACAAAGAATGTTCTGGGAAGACAAAGAAAAGCTTCCTGTTCTCCAGCAAAAGATCAGTTTTGAAATGCTGCGAAGAGTTAGTATGATGGGAAATTGTGAAATAGAGGTTGAGAGGCAGGCTAACATTTGATAAATAGTTATAAAAAACATTGGCTAACGGGTAAAGACAGGCCTACATGTAGACACATGCACATTGTCATTATCTCTGCGCCATAGAGATAAGGAGTTGGTCAGTCAAAGTTGTTCTTCCGGGGACATTGTTGGCTGACCCTTCGTTCACCCCCTTGTAGGATTTTGCACATTCGCACTGGCAGTTGTGAAGTGTGGAATCTGTTACTATTCTGATTGCTGACCCAAAGACTCCCCAGGGAAGGTTGAAGCTGTGTGGGTTCTTTGAGAAATATATTACTGCTCTAGCTTCTGATCCCCATGTAACACTCAGTATTATTTGGTTCAGGTCCAGTTAACTTTGATCATTTTTAAGCATTTGCACTGGAGATCCCTGGCTTTGTCATGGTTTTCAGCATGCAAGTAGCAGAGATCAAAAGTCTTTGACCAGACTGCTGACTAGTGGATGATGCAGGGTTCATGTGCAGGACTCTGCTTCTCGGGAAATAGCTGGAGGTTCTGACACAATATGAAGGCACCTAACTCTCCCTCACCCTATTTGTCATTCCCAGGGGCTCCTTTACCCACGTGAGCAATACTCATTTCATAGACCAAATAAATGAATGTACATAACAAATCCCAAATTCCTAAACCTAAACAAAACAATAAGCCACCCATTCTAGAAATCTTTACTGCTTCCTTCCTGTTAGAAAGTAATACTTCTGACAGTCAAAATACATAGTATCAGTCAGATGTGCAGAGAGAATATACTATCCTTATACTGTATCATCAAACTAATTAATTTCATAAGTCTCCTCTTCCCTGGAAAGCCAGGCAAGGCTGAGAAAGAAGGTAGGCAGGTAGCACTGAATATTTTGCTAACATTGTCTCAGTTTCTTCTGGTTTTCAGTGTCAGCTAATTCAGGTTCTCTAGAGTAAATGCCTACTGTTCCAGAGTTTTGGCTTTTCCCCACTCCTCCTCTAGATGGTGTTTGGGTAATATAAGCAGGTTTTTTGTGACTTTAGAGTCTTGGGCAGGGGCTCATGAAGACTTGTGAGCAAGTCTTTGTGCTGTCCTCGGGCCTAGTCTGGACTGTCTGCTGGGGTCTGATCCCTCCTCTCTTACCCACTGTGGGGCAGCTGACGTCGCCTGGCCTTTGGGGCATCACAGTGGCCCCTACCCCTGAAGATCATGCCCCAGTTGTTTGCCTGTTGTTTTGAAGTCTCCTTGTGCACAGAATTCTCTTCATCTGAATTGCAGGCCTGGAGCAGCGCCACACTCACCTGTATGGAGCTTACCTGAAGAGCTGCCCCAGCCCTGCCCATCCTTTGCCAGTGCAGTGTTAGGACTTCTGTGCCATGCTGGAGTTGGTGATGAGAGGCTTTGTCGAGACAATAAGCTTGTAGCCTCCTCCAGACTATGCCTGATAATAGATAATAGATCCTCAGCCCCAATGACCTTGGTTCATCAGGCCCATCTGTGTGTTTGTACTGCACCACCAAGAACACTGACATCAGAGCTCTTTGTCATGTCTTACTTTCATTGCCTTCTAGCCCTTCGCTCAAAATCACAAAATTTTACTTGCTACTTTTTCCTACTTGTCTGGTAGGGACTTCCTTCCTAGAAGCGCTTAGAACTCTCATATATGAAGGTAGCTTAAGAAGTTACTTTCCTCTCTCATAAATACCTGTGTCTTAAGACTTGTGGTCCTACCCAAGGCTCAAAAAAGAAGTTAGTTTGAGCCCTAGAGCTGAACATTGCCCTTAGTTTAAAATTGCCTTTAGTTCTTAGACATGTGTATGTGTGCATATATATGATGAACCCCTTGGTCACCTGGTAAAGCCTGTGAACTGCTGCTCAAATAATATTTGTTGGTGCAGAAATAAGACACACATAGGATTACAAAGGAACCCAGATGTATTCAAATGATGTTATCAAAATATTAAACAAATTTGTGGCATAGTAATATATGTGCTGCTTTATTAACACATTAAATAAGAAGGCCTAATGATTACCTTAATTTAGTAATAGTAACAATGATATTTCAAGGTACCAGATGAAATACAGTAAAAAGAACTGGCTTTTAATGGTAGCAATGTCACAAGTAATGATATTACTGTAGTTGTTGACCACATACATGATGGAAGAAAATTATAAATTTCAACAATAGGTTAGTGAAAAATAAAGATAAAAATTTTTTGCCATTTAAGTTCAGGTACCCCTCAACTCTAGCCCTAGATATCTTGAGGCTTTAGATCCCTCTTCTACAGGGTTGGATCTGCTCTCCCTGTGAAGGGAGGGAGGTTATTGGATGGGGAACTACAAGGGGCAAGATTTATAAGATGTGAAAATACAGTTGAAGGCAGTTCAGGTATTTTCTCTTTATACTATCTTCTGGGAAAATAATATTGATCCAGAAGGTTGAAGTGTAGCATAGTTCAACATACGGTATTTTTCTCTTCTCCCTACATCATCCAGAGTGTTTCTATCTTTTGATGCTTCACTTAATACTTTACTAACACTTTATATTTGCCTGGTGTTTAATATAACTTTCACTTATTAAATGTTGCTTTTGAGTAAGAATGTAAAAAAAGTATTTAAAAAAATAGAAATTAGCACTTCAAAGGGAATAATTGAAGAAATGGAGTTAGATTTTCCATGGCCCTGCTTGGGAGAACCTACTGTACCTAGCAACTAGCCAATAAATGCAGCTTTTGGTTGGTCTATTTTCATCAAAATGTTTGATGTTGGCAATATTTATCACATACTGAAGTTATTGTGTTTGTGTGTATGTGTGTTCTTTTCTCCAGTTCTGCCTGCTAAGCCTGAGAATATTTCTTGTGTTTTCTACTATAAGAAAAATTTTACTTGCACCTGGAGTCCAGAGAAAGAAGCCAGTTATACATGGTACAAAGTTAGGAGAACTTAGTAAGTACGGGAGCCTGTGTGCTATCAGTGTGAGTGTGGGGAGGAGGCAGAGGCTCCTAGTTCATTCATGATTCAAGTCACTTATGAAGTAAAATGTTTTCTCACTTACACAGCTCTGGGTGACTACTATATGCATTCCGTTGGTGGGGGAACATCTTGGCCCCTTGCAGCCACACTGACAAGAATCTGCAGTGATGGAGGGAGAGGAGGTGTGGCTGCACGATGCCTCCTCCTGGAGCTGCTGGGTTGGCTGAGAATAGTCACCAGTTAGGATATCTGTTTGTTTATTATATTCAACCATATTCTTCCTCTTTCCAGAAAGTTCTATAAAACTGTTCATTCTTCATGGATCCAGATATAATAAGTAGGTTATAAACCCAGACCGAGAGGCAGATTGGCCTCAGTGTGTCACTAATTTGCTGTGTCAGACAGTGTTCCACCTGGGCTGCGATTCCCAAAGTTTTCACTACCTCAACCATTCTTTTTATTCTAATTCTATTCAAGTAAAAATTATAAACTTTTTATTATAATTCTAGCCAAAAGCTAGGTATTTTAGTGAGTGCATGAGGGCATTTTTGAAATTTTGAAAATAGCTCATGAAACCCATTATGTCTTCCACGTTCTCTTAGGTATTCCTAAGCCTCTTTTGGGAACAATTGGAAGAAGATATTTAAGTATTTTCCATTCAGAAAGAGAGTCTATAGTTCCAAGTTTTTGCTTTGTTTCATTTTTAAGGGCAAACCTCATACATACTCCATTTTTTTTTCATGCCTTGGAAATTGGTAACTAGTATTGTAAGGAAAGTCCACTTCATGTTTTACAGTAAAAGAAAGGGAAAATAGAAACAATATGCCTTGCAGCATTGATAAATCAGTGAGTATATCACAGAGATGATTTAAAACAGAGATCAGCAAACTTCCTGTGTAAAGGGCTAAATAATAAATATTTTAGGCTCAGGGGGAGATGGGTCTCTGTCCAACTGTCAACACTACTGCTTTGGCAAGAAAGCTGCCATAGACAATTTGTAAACCAATGGACCTGACTGTTTTCCAATAAAATCTTATTTATAGACAGTGAAATTTGAATTTCATATGCTTTTTACATGCCACAACATGTTCTTTTTATTTTGGTATTTTTTCCTCAACCATTTAACAATGTAAAACCTGTTCTTAGCCTGTGATCCATGTAAGAATGGGAGGTGGGCTGGCTGTATTTGACCTGCACGCTACAGTTTGCTGACACCTGCTTTTGAAAATAAGAATGACAAAGTCCCAATGATCCATGGTTCAGGTGACTTTATCTTCTCCCAGACTTGTTAGTTCCAGTCCCACTGTTGAACAAGAAGTACCTGTAGAATTAAAATCTGGAAACCTCAATAGGTTTACTCCTATTTTTCTGTTTTAAAGAGTCATTTCCCCACCCCCACCCCCTTCCATCTCCATGGATTATCATTATCGTCAGCTGGAAGCCCCTTGGTGCCAGGCCTATGTACAGCTCCTCGGGGGGGCCTCAGGCCTGCTAGGCTCTCCAGGCCTACCAGACTGCCTTGCATTTTTTTAGTTTATCGCTGAGAACATCTCTTCCAGGCAGAAGGAATGGATTTCCTTGTGAATAGTCAAATCTGAAAGCAGATTTTGGTGGGTCAGTGGTGTGAATAAAAAATCTACCAGATGCCCAGAAAAAACAGAAATTTAATTTTCCTTGGGGAAGAGAATGAGGAGTTGGGATGCCTTCATGGAGATAGTGGTTTTTGAGCACACTTGAAAGCGCTCTAGGGGTGTAGAAAAGGGGAGAAAGGGGATTTCTTAAAGGTTACAGCAAGAATAAATGTACAAATATTCAACTTCAGTAATAGTACTAATAACAGTAATACTAACAAAACTCTTTTAGACCATGTGCCTGACATTTCACTTTATGTGTATCAGCTCATTTCATTCTCTTAACAACCCTATGCGATAGCTATATTGCTATTCTCATTTTACAGATAAGAAAACAAGGCACTGAGAGGTTAATAAATTTGCCCAAGGCACAGGATTAATAAGGCAAAGCCAGGATTCAAACCTGCTCTTCTAGAACATGCATTTAACAATACAGCATTCCCCTGGAGGCCATATTTTCATGGTTCAATAACCATAGAAAACCCTTGACATTGTTTCTGCTGTCAGCACTCCACGATTCTACATGTCCAAGCTCTGTTCCCTTGTCCTCCACCCCAGCAACACCCGTACCTTGCAAGGTGGGCCTCCTTTCCTGTTGTTAGCCTACTCCATCTCCTACATAGTCCCCCGAACCATGTGGACTATAGCTGCACCCACCCATCTGATTCCTATCAATATGTGTACTTGTTTTCATTAAGTTAAAACTTATAAGGTTTAAGTTATTTATCTAGGAAGATAATTTTTATGAGTTTTATAAAAAAAATATATACCAATGGTAAAAAATTCAATCTGAAATATATAAAGAATGTAAAAAATCACTGGAGATCCTACCACCAAAGGTAACAACTTAAACATTTTGATGAAGACCTTTACAGGTGTCTCTAAGAACAGTTATATAAATGTTTATATGAAAGTGATTATTCTGTATATAATATGCATCCAGCTTCTTTTCCATCAATAGAGTACATATATATATATATGGAAGGCATCTTTCTATATCAATAGATATATTAAAAACTGTCGTTTTTAATTCTATTTATGTATCTGCCATAATTTATTTAACAAATTCTCTTTGATTTTTTTTTCTTTTAAGAATAAGTTCTTGAGACTCGAATCATATTTTCCAGGGCCTATTAATTATTCCTTACCAATAGGAAATGCATTATGAGTGTAGCTTTTGCTGGGCTTATGCAGTTCCAAGGAGGTCTCCATGGTTCATAGCATCTCAGGCAGGCAGGAAGCAGGTAACTATAATGTCTCCTTGGAGGTGAGGAAGGAATTTGGAGAGAGGGGCACCAAATTCTGGGCTATACTGTTCTCAAGAGAAACCCAGAGTGAAACTAATAAATACATGCATAATACATTATATATGGCTGTGTGTCTGAACTGCTGTATTAAACTCATGTTGAATCACTTTTTCCTTCAAAGCTCTTATGGACATAAAAGTGATATTTGTTCACCTGATAATTCTGCAAGTGGAAATCATGCTTCATGCTCTTTTCTTCCTCCAACAATAACAAACCCAGATAACTACACTATTCAAGTGGAAGCTCAAAATGCAGATGGTATAATTAAATCTGATACAACACATTGGAGCTTAGATGCCATAAGTAAGTTAATATTTTTATATACCCTTTTGTTTAAAGATACCTTCTCTTTTTTTCTTTGAAGAACTGTGGACTCAAAAGTAGACTCATAGCTCAAGGATATAGAGGTGTGTGTTAGGGATATACAGAAAATGTGTCCTTTACTGAAGAAAGAATGGGGAGGAGGTAGGGAGGAAGGAAGGAGAGTAAGGAATTGACTATACATGGTCAACTGATCTTTGACAAGGGGCACCAAGAATATAAAATGAGAAAGGGATAGTCTCTTCAATATATGGTAATGGGAAAACTGGATATCCGTGTGCAAAAGAATGAAATTGGATCCATATTTTACCCCATACAGAAAAATCAACTCAAAATGGAGTAAAGACTTAAGACCTGCAGCCATAATATTCCTAGGAGAAACCATAGGGAAAAAGCTCCTTGACATTGATCTTGGCACTGATTCCTTGGATATAAGACATCAAAACCACTGAATAAATTAGTGGGACTATTCCTCATGTAATTGTAGATTAATGATACCAAAAAAAAAAATTTAAATACACAAAAAATTTTTAAAAAATCAGTGGGACTACATCAAACTAAATAGCTTCTGAACAGCAAATGAAACAATCAACAAATGTAGAAGCAACATGCAGAATGGGAGAAAATATTTGCAAACCATATAATTGATAAGGGGTTAATATCCAAAATATATAAGGAACTCCTACAACTCAATAGCAAAAAATCAAATAAGCCCATTAAAAAATAGGCAAAGGACCTGAATAGACATTTCTGCAAAGAAGACATACAAATGAAAAAAATATATATGAAAAGAGACATTTGCCGGTCCCTCTTTCCTCTTGTAGTTTGTATCATAAACCGTACTCAAGGAAATAGAGTTTTTCCTCCTGAAAACATCATTGCTTATATAGGAAAAGAGTATAACTCTTATTTTAAAATATCTGACTAATTCTTACCTTCTTAATTTTTTTTCAAAAATTTAATTTCATCATATAATTTTTAAAAACTTTTTATTAAGGTATTATTGATATATACTCTTATGAAGGTTTCACATGAAAAAAACAATGTGGTTACTATATTTACCCATATCGTCAAGTCCCCACCCACACCCCCGTGCAGTCACTGTCCATCAGTGTAGTAAGATGCCACAGATTCACTGTTTGCCTTCTCTGTGCTACACTGTTTTCCCCGTGACATCATGTGTATTAAACATAATACCCGTCAATCCCCATCTGCCTTCCTCCCTATCCACCTTTCCACACCCCTCCTATTTGGTAACCACTAGTCCCTTCTTGGAGTCTGTGAGTCTGTTGCGATTTTGTTCCTTCAGTTTTGCTTCATTGCTAAACTCCACAAATGAGGGAAATCATTTGGCACTTGTCTTTCTCTGCCTGGCTTATTTCACTGAGCATAATATCCTCCAGCTCCATCCATGTTATTGCAAATGGTAGGATTTGTTTCTTTCTTATGGCTGAATAGTATTCCATTGTGTATATGTACCACCTCTTCTTTATCCATTCATCTACTGATGGACACTTAGGTTGCTTCCATATCTTGGCTACTGTAAATAGCGCTGCGATAAGCATAGGGGTGCATATGTCTTTTTGAGTCTGAGAAGTTGTATTCTTTGGGCAAATTCCAAGGAGTGGGATTCCTGGGTCAAATGGTATTTCTATTTTTAGTTTTTTGAGGAACCTCCATATTGCTTTTCACAATGGTTGAACTAGCTTACATTCCCACCAGCAGTGTAGGAGGGTTCCCCTTTCTTCTCATCCCTGCCAGCATTTGTTGTTCTTAGTCTTTTGGATGGTGGCCATCCTTACTGGTGTGAGGTGATAACTCATTGTTTTAATTTGCATTTCCCTGATGATTAGTGATGTGGAGCATCTTTTCATGTGTTTGTTGGCCATCTGAATTTCTTCTTTGGAGAATTGTCTCTTCATATCCTCTGCCCACTTTTTAATCAGGTTATTTGATTTTTGGGTGTTGAGGTGTGTGAGTTCTTTATATATTTTGGATGTTGATCCCTTTTCAGATATGTCATTTATGAATATGTTTTCCCATACCTTAGGATGCCTTTTTGTTCTGTTGATGGTGTCCTTTGCCATACAGAAACTTTTCAGTTTAATGTAGTCTCATGTGTTCATTTTTGCTTTTGTTTCCCTTGCTCGAAGAGATGCATTTAGGCCTTATATTTTTGAGTAACATTTTTATTGAGATACAATTCACATACCACAAAGTTCACCTTTCATAAATGACAATTCAGTGTTTTTTAAATCATATTCATAAAGTTTTACAGATCATTTTCATCACCCACTCATTTCTATCATCTATGATTTTCTTGATTTCCTTTAGTTCTTTCATATATTTTCTTTTCAAGTATTTGAGCATATTCAAAACAGTTGTTTTAAAGTCTTTCTCTAGTAAGCCTGGTGTCTGGGCTTCCTTAAGGACAGTTTCTATTGATGTATTTTGTTTCTTTGAATAGGCCCTATTTTTTTTTGTATGCCTTGTGACTTGTTTGTTGACAATTGGACATTTGAAAAAACAGACACCTTTTCTAGTCTTTGCAGACTGTGTCTGTGCTGGGCAGTCAGTCCTTCACAGATTAGCTGGGTGTGCCCTGAGCCTAAGGATCAGTCTCAAGTGAAAATTCTTTTCAGGTCTTTTCTGATTATGCATGTTGTCTTGGCCTGCATATTGCTTTCTCACTCTGCTGTCTACATAGTTGCTTTCAAATGTCTTAATTTCCCAGAGTCTCACCCAACTTTCCTCAGGACCTCGGGTGGCCTATTACACATCTCTATCTGTAATCTCTTGCTCCAGCTTGTGTGGGTTTGTAGTCTCACTGTAGCTTTCATGAGCAGTTCCAGCTGCTTTTCCTACCTCAGATCTGAAATAAAACAGGGACAAATCCTTCCATGTTACTCCAGAGAGGTTAGGATGTTGTAAATAAGTCTGCTCTGTTCTCTATTGTTCAAGGCGGGGAAGTAGGGACTGGGTTTCTGCCTCCTCCAAACCAAGACCACTAATGTGGTGGAGAGAAAGGGTAGGATAAGGGCAAGTGAGACCACCACACTTTTCCTATCACTTTGAAGGGGACATTTTCTTGATTGGGTGTTTGTTTGGTTGCTGTAAACCTTTTAATGGTTTCCAGAGCTCCAGCCAGGCTAGTGCAGCCAGTTTCTGTTTTATTTTTATTAATTTATTTTTGTTTCTATGGGGAAACAAAAACAGACATCTAGTGCATCATTCTGCTGACATCACTCAATATACATTTCTTATTTAGCAATTCTAAGCACCATTTTAATGGGAATAAAAATTAATAACTTCTCCTTGGTGAATCTAACTACAGTAGGGATTTGTGTTTATTCTGGCTGGAGGCTGTCAAGTTTATTGGTTAAAGGAAGGAGTTTTGGAGTGGGTGCATAGGAATTCCCCCAGCTTGACTTCTTATGAGAATGTTATATAAACTTTGAAAATTTGAGTTTTACTTTCTGAAAAATGAGTGTTACAAATGTTAGGTGGTTGAGAGGCGTCAACAAAATGATTCTCCTAAAAAATACTTATCAAATGCTCAATAAATATCAATAGTCTTATGAAAATTATTTTATATGGCTATTGTTTACAGCTGCACATATTGAGGGGCCACAAAAATTGATGACCACTCTTTAGTCCAGGCATAATCATTATCTATTATTTTTGAGTAGCTATAAAAAGCTTTCTGAATATTTTTATCCAGTGTTTTTAATTTCATGGAACTAAGTAGGGATATTGCTCTCCAAAAACTCTCAGGAATTGCAAAGATGAAAAAGATGATGCTACTAGCCAGGGTGTGGTAGGATGGGTATTCACACCCTATTGATGGAAACTGCTATTAGTGTAGTTTTTTTGGAAGGCAAAATGGCACTGTGTGGAAGCAGCCCTAAAAATGTTCATATCCTTTTACTTATCTATCCTAAGGAGATCTGAGGAAGCCATTAGAGATGCAGACAAAGATGTAACTATCATCCACTTATTTATTCACTTAACAAATACCTGATACCTGATAAATGCTAGGTGTTAATTCTAGGCTTTGTGATCAAGATTCAGCTTCTGTTCTCAGGGAGCTTTAAAATGAAAAGTTGGAAACCCTATGAATGTGCAATAAAGAAAGGGTCAAATAAATTTTGTTCATCCATGACATGGAATATCATGAAGTGTGGCAAAAGAATCATGTTTTGAAGAATTTTTAATGCAAAAGAGGTATATGCTGATTGCATTATTTTATTAAAAGAGACAAAAGGCTTGTTTTGCATATCAATTTTATTTTAAAAATATATAAATACTTCCATAGAAAAAAGCCTGGAAATATACCAAACTGTTAATAATCTCCAATTAATGTCATTGTGGATGATTTAAAGTTTTTCTTTTTATTTTTCTGTATTTAAAAAAATTTTTGTACTGAGCATATGTTACTCTTATAAGCAGAAAAAAAATACAGATTTTCAGAGAGGTTTGGGAAGATAATGTTTGCAGTGTTCAGGGGAAATGAGAGGTGCTTTCTACTGGGCAGTCCTTCATTCTGGGGTCAAGGGAAGAAGCCAAGGGGAGGGGAGAGCAGATGAGGGAATGGCTTCTCTTGTCGTGTAGTTTCTTCTTTTTATATCCCTTCTGCTCAGCATTAAGATCTGACTCAATTAGGAAAAGGCTGATTTGTAGAGAAATCACAGGAATGTATCCTCTCCTCACTGGATTTTGCTTTTTAGGGAGTGGTGGCGGCTGCATTCCTTTTGCTCCACCTTCCTCATGTCATTTGCATATAGTGGGTTGCAAAATATGCACTATATTTCCTTTCTAGACTCTTTTTCATTTTTCGATGGATGTTATTAGCACCTTCTGATCTTTTTGCAAGTATAAAAACTGTGTGATTTTTATTTTCAGTGAAAACCGAACCACCTGAGATTTCCCATGTGAAACCGGTTTTGGGTGTCAAACGAATGGTTCAAATAAAATGGACAAGACCTGTATTGGCATCTGTTTCATCTACTTTAAAATACATGCTTCGATTCAGAACAGCAAATAGTGCCCACTGGGTAAGTTATGCCTTTAGAATGTTTCTATTAGAAGGCCCAAAGAAGAAAACTATTGACAACTTTTGTTGACCTGGAATCATTATTTTTCAATTTTCCACATTGAAAATAGAAGATAGGTAATAGTGAATACTTTCCTTCCCAGTTTCCCATTTGGGCTTTTTAGATTGGAAAAGTGTTTTACTATAGGCATCTTGCATTCAGAGCAGAGAATGGAAAATTTACTTTGGTATTCTAACCTGGTTTGTTTATCTGTGTCAGCTGTCAGAGATTTTATGGTCTGGCCATTTCCTTTTTTATTTTTCCAATTGTATATGAAATTGTGATGTATAACACATATTCAGAAAAGTGAACAAAACTTAAATATTGCATTAAATGAATTATTAAGTCAGCACTCATGTAGAAACCACCAAGGTCAAAAATGGCATGCCAAAGCCCACTGCCTATTACCCCTTTCCTAATGACAACACCCTTTTGCCCTTAGATCTGTTACCCTGATTTTCATCATAAAGATTTATATGCTTTTTATTATGGTTTTACCATTTAAATGTGCATCCCTGAAGATCATAGTTTGGACATTATGTGGAATCCATACATTTTGTCTGTTTTTCATGATTGGCTTCCATCTCTCAATATGGTACTCCTAAGATTCACTCATGTTATATAATGCTGAAGTTAATGCATTTTTATTTCTGTGTAGTATTCCATTGTATGAAAACAATGGAATCATGGCTTTAATTTGCATTTACCTGTCTTTTAGTGAGGCTGCATACCTTTTCATGTGTTTATTAGCTATTTTTAGTCCTTCTTTGTGAAGTGTTGATTTTACACTTTTTTTTCTATTGGATGATCTGTCTGATTTTTTAATTGACTTTTAGCAGTTCCTATGTGTTTGATTTATGAGTCTTTTATTTGTTGGGTGTGTTGCAGACATCTCTCACTATGTGGCTTGACTTTTCACCATCATGGTGACTTTAGCTGAACAGAAATTCTTAATTTTAATACCATCAAATTTTATCAATCTTTTCCTTTATAGTTAACATCTTTTGTATCTTAAGAAACCTTTTCTTACCTCAGAGTTCAGAAGATATTCTCATATTCCCATCATGCAGTCCGAAATGATATCAATTTTGTTTTTTTGGTAACCGCTTACATTATTAAGTTTTAATCAGCTCTCAGCCAGTTAAATCAGTTAAATCTTTCAGACTTTTTTCCTCACACAATATTTGTTAGTAAAACACATCTCCATTATCTTATAACTTGTTGGTTTTTAACCTAAGTGTGGGCATTTTATTTATTCCTATTGAATTTCCCCATGTTGGTCTTATCCATCATTTCAGCCTATTTAGAATCTTTATTCAACCACCCTAAACTTGTAATTAACTTTCTAACTTTTCAATAAAATTTGTTAACTTTGCTTCTAACTTCTTAATATGTTCATATTTGGTAATACTTCTTTATCTAATCATTAATAAAAATGGCACCTGGATCAGAGCCCTGTGGTAAATGAGTAGAGACCATCCAGAGAATCAACCTCTCCTTTCTTCTTTGAGGGTGGCCATTTACTCGGCCTTCTTTGAATATATACCCAATTACCACCACAGTCATTCAGCTTGCTTTTTCATCTTGTCCAGCAGGCTATCACTAGACTTTTTTCTTCACTGAAACCCATAGATACTTTGTCTGTTGCATCCTCTCCTCGTCTAGAGCTCTTTTAGGAAAGAAAATTGTTTAAGTTTCATTTGTCTTACATTTAGGACAAGAGAAATAATGATGTCCCCCTCCTCTAAGCTTCTGGACCATTCTCCTAGAAGATGACTATACGTAACATAAGACTTACCTACTTGTAGTTTTCTAGAACCCAGAAGGGCCCCTAGGAAGTTAGTTCCCAGCAGAACATAAGCTCATCTCTGTCACACCACATGTGATGGCCTCAGTGAACCTGAGGAACTTCTGAGGTGACCTACAAGTACTAGCAACCCTTGATTTCTTCTGTTTGTCTGTGCCCAGAGTCCTGTGACTGCTGGTATAGGATTCAACAGGACAAGTAAACTAGAATCTGTGTCCTTCTAGCAAATTACTAAACACTAAGTGAGGACAGCAAGTATAAACTACCCCAACTTCCAGCATCCTGTGTCCGCCTATTTGACCTGCACCTGTACTCATCTTTGCCTCTTTCCTTCCTGTGTCTGAGGCAAGAGGTCTTTCCTTCTGCTCTCCTGGAGGAAGTGGGAAGGAAAGTGGAATGTGCAGCTGGTATTTCTGACCTTTGAAACAATCAAGTCTACTTAGTTCTAAACCCAGCTACACCAACCCAGCCTTCTCTGGATGATTCCCATTATCTATGGAAAAAGGTCCCAAGCCTTAACTCTCCAAGACCTGCCGCTTATTGACCCCTCCATGTTCATCTTTCATCTTGCTTCTCTAGTAATTCTGAATTGCTAGTTTCTTTTACGTAGTTTTACTATGCTGTATTTCAGCCTAGAATGCCCTCCGCTTTTGTACCTCTACTCCTGCTCCCAAACCTTGCTAAATCCACTCATCTCTTAGAACTTAGGTCTGACACATTTCCCTCGGAGAGCCTGTACTAGGTGCTCCTCCTCTGTCATTGCACTTAATGTTCAACACAGTTATTTAAAGTCATCTATCCTTGCATTAGACTGTAAGTTCCTCAAACACAGAGACCTTGGTTTTCATCCTTGTTTTCCCATTGCTTGGCACATGTGCTCAGTGAATGTTTAAGTAAATTAAACCATATAGAAACTAATTCTAAAATCCTAATGTATCCATATGGCAAAAATCATATTTGTGTGATGCTCTATGGTTTACAGAATGCTTTCCTATGTCCTAAACTTTTTAATCCTTGCAAATATTCTGTAAATGAGGATCACTATTCTTATTTTTACAGATTAGGAAATTTCAGTGTAGAAAGCTTAAATCATCTGTCCAGGATCACAAGGTTTATAATTTGTAGACCCAAACCTGCATTTTCTGATTTCAAGTTCAGTCATGTGACCATAGTTTAACAACTCCAAACCACCTTCCTGTGGCCTTAAAGGATTTCCACCTATAGAAAATGGAACCACATGAACACTCTACAGAAGGATCTCAATACTGTTTTTTTTGTATCATTAATGTACAATTACATGAGCAACATGGTTACTAGACTCCCCCTATTATCAAGTCCCCACCACATACCCCATTACAGTCACTGTCCATCAGCGTAGTAAGATGCTGTAGAGTCACTACTTGTCTTCTCTGTGATATACTGCCTTCCCTGTGTCCCCCCGACTACATTATGTGTGCTAATCGTAATGCCCCTTTTCCCCCCTTCTCCCTCCCTTCCCACCCATCCTCCCTAGTCCCTTTCCCTTTGGTAACTGCTAGTCCATTCTTGGGTTCTGTGAGTCTGCTGCTGTTTTGTTCCTTCAGTTTTTTCTTTGTTCTTATACTCCACAGATGAGTGAAATCATTTGGTACTTGTCTTTCTCTGCCTGGCTTATTTCACTGAGTATAATACCCTCTAGCTCTCAATACAGTTTTAAGTTTGATAGAGAATTTGGACTAAACCTCTAACTCATCTTCTATGACATAAACACTTTGGGTGAGCTAGAATTTGGCACAAAGTATAGATTGTTAGAAATACACCTGATGAAGTTAATTAGTGTTTTGGTAGGAGTCCATTGCCTGTGTTGAGTTGGGGAAGGTTTAGATTTAGCTTGTGTATGGAGGATCAATTGATTCTGGCCTCTGTGAGGGCCAAAGGCACCTTGCCTAGACAAGAAGCCTGAGTAAAAGAAGACTTCCAGGCACACTGACAGACTGAGCAGCTTTTTCTTTCCTTTGAGGCTAGGGTTGAGAGCAGGCTTGCACAGCTATGGTAGGCAGAGCTTTCTGAGCATGAACTTGAGGAGCCTCAGCAAGCAGGCCAAGCAAGTGCTGAGGATAGTAGCAAGGCAGGAGGAAAAATGCAAAAGATTTCTTAAGAATATTAGTAATTTTTTAATGTATATTTTATGGATTAATATTGTTTTTATTTCATAATGTTAGGAGAAGGTTGGTCTTCTCTTAAAGGTTTTATTCTGGTTCCAACTGGGACCCATAACTAAGGTAAGTTGGGGAGGCTACTTTCTCTCAGAGATGATGGATTTTCTCAAATTATGTTCCCCAAACCTTGTTCTGTCACTGCAGCATGTCCAAGGAGGGCACTTAGGGAACCTGGAGTTCAGCAGTGAATTGGTCTCACCCTGGATCCTACTTTGTTGCTCCGACATCATCACTAGGCTGGGAGTTCAGGACTCTCCCTCTGTAGCTGGGATGCTCAGTTTTTAGCTACAGACACACATTCATTTTGCCTGATTTCCTTTAGGGCTTATAACTGTGTACTTATTTTCATAGTTGTTATCTATATATAAGAATTATCAGGACTTCCTTCTATCACAAGGTTCTGTGGAACTAGTGTGCATACTCACAAAATGGGCATGCCTGTTTGTGCAGTTTGGCTTTATTAATCAACTCAATGTAAGTTCATATAAACCAACTGCTAAAAGTCCATATTGTAGTGACAATGACCATGCTCAGAAAGAAATAGCTGAATATTGAGTCTCTCTTGGAGAGTTGGGTCCAAAAGGAAATTTGAGGTAATTTATAGTCACTTAACTTCTCTGGCTCTGGACCTTGACATGAGGTTGAATGGAATGCTGCTAAGGTCTCTGTTGCATACTCACAAAATGGGCATGCCTGTTTGTGCAGTTTGGCTTTATTGCTCTGTTGCCTACTGTTCTGTGAGACCTTAGCCATTGGGGTCACCTCTAGACTTTAAACTGAGGCCCAGGTTGCCCTAGGTCCCAGGACTTTTACTTGCATCTTCCAGAACAGCAAGATTCTGCTCACTCATATCCAGCCCAGAGGCAGAAATCTCTGCCCCACAAGCTTAGAAACAGGAAATGGGATTGGTGGGGAAGGTGGTTCATTGGGTGACTCACAGCTATTTAGGTATAAATAATCCCCAGGCACGCATGGAGGTTTATATATGAAAATTACATATTTTAAAATGTAAGATATAATGCTGCTAGTTCTAAAAAGGTAAGAGAGGGTTGGGGAGGAAATAAGAAGAGTGAAAAGATAACATGTGGTCTCCCATCCAGCTCAGGGTTGTCTCTGTCTTTTAGATGGAAGTCAACTTCACCGAGGAAGATATCAACAGAGATGAAACATACAACCTCACAGGGCTGTTGGCTTTTACAGAATATGTTGTAGCTCTGCGATGTGTGGGTGAGGAGTCGATGTTCTGGAGTGGCTGGAGCCAAGAAAAAATGGGAACAACTGAGGAAGAAGGCAAGCTGCTCCTTTATAATTCCTTTTCTGGCTGCTCTGGTTTAGAGTGGCCTGAGCCTAGCAAAGTGCTATATTGGAAATCATGGGATCCTACAATCCCATAGCCTGGAGAGCCTGTGCATTTCCTTTCCACAGGGCACCCAAGGCACCCACCTGACCCCCGGGGTAAGCCTCTGATGGTGGTAATTACATTAGCAGCTTTTTTGCCCCAAAGGCAAAAGATCACATCCTTAATACTCTTACAATTCTTATACTATATATGAAGTGATGTAATATTATTTAATGCTTTCCTGTGATAAACTAAAGATACATATTGTAAACTCTGGAGCTACTACAAAAGAAATAAGTAAAGGTATAACCAATGAGAAAAGAAAGGTCACATTTTTAATGACAGTGGGGGAAGGAAAGAGAAAGGTACTTACCATGAGTCAGGTGTGGTAACTAAGAACAGTACTTCTAGTCTGTGGGCTTGGCTGAAATCCCAGCCTGGCTCTGGAGTGATTTGGGGCAAGATAACTAATCTCTAAGCCTCCGTTTTCTCACTATATATTCCCCTTTTCCATAAAGGAATATAATTTGTAAAATTGAGTTAATAATAGTACCTACTTTTTAGTGTTATTTTAAAAAGAAATAAAAAAGTTTATTTAGCCCATTGTAAACATTCAATAAATGTCAGATTTCCTATTCTTATTATTAATCTTCCTAAGAGCCCTTTAAGATATGTAGAATTCCCCCCATTTTGAGGTTAGGGAGTTGAATTTCAGAGATGTTAATAAATTGCTCAGGGTCACTTAGGAGGTGTTATATTCTCTAATCAAGAACTTTGCCCAGGGCCTGAACCAAGTAGATGGTCAATAAACGTTTGATGACTGTGTTAGTTTACCATGGCTGCTCTAACAAACTACCCTACATTTAGTGGCTTAAAGCAACAGTTTTTCTCTTAGAGTTCTGGAAGTCAGAAGTCCAAAATAAGTTTCACAGGACTAAAGTCAGTGTCAGCAGGGTTGTCTCCTTTTGGAGACTCTGAAGGGAGAATATGTTTTCTTGCCTTTCCAGCTTTTAGTGGCCTCCTATATTCTTTGGTTTGTGGCCCCTTCCTCCATCTACAAAACATGTCACTCCTTTCTCTGCTTCCATCATCACGTCACCTTTCTCTCCTCTTCTGTGTCAGATCTCTACTTCACTTCTTTAATGACCTTTGTAATAACATTTAAAGCCCACCTAGACAAGGCAGGGTAATCTCCCCGTCTCAAGATCCTAACACAATCACATCTGCAAAATACCTTTGGCCATATAAGGTAACATTTAAGGTTCCAGGGATTAGGACTTAGATTGTTGAGGCCCATTTTGCAGCCTAACACAATGAATGAATGAATGAATGAATGAATGAATGAATAATTAGGTGAATGCTTGGTAATGTCCATACATTTGAAATATGGAAAAGAAATGCAAAAATGCTGGCCCTTCTAATCTTCTATAGTTTTAACCTTATTTGTTTGTAAGACACCTGGTTTTAGAACATGAATTTTCCCCCACCTAACCCCAAACATGATTTCAGGCCCTTCTTAGTCAGTCTTATAGCCAAGTCCCACACTGTTCTTATGCAACATCTGGGGTCAACCTCTGTGCTCTCCGGTGCATGTGATAATTTATTCCTCTGGATCCTGGTTGAGTTTTCCCCATGAGACCAAGTTGGTACTAACAAATGTTTGGTACATTTGCCCATATGGTTAGATGTCTGGAAGCAATCAGGTGCTTTCTAAATTTTGTATTCCCCACTGGATGTTCATGCATAGTCTGGAATACTCCTTGGTGGATATGGTTACACAATAAGGATTCATGTAGCACCTGGGAATTGGTTAAATGGACTCTGAAGGCTTTTCTCACCCTAAGATTCTTTCTTCTGTGCCATTCAGGCATCCAGTCTTCTATGTCATGCTGTAGCAATAGAGAAAAAGATTATAGAAAATCCCAAATCTTATGTGTCTAAGTGCTTAGAACAGTGCCTTACAAATGGTAAGGGCTATATAAATTTTAAATAGATAAAAATACATGCATGGTTAAAGCAAAACTAGTCGATGTAAACTTTTGATTAGAATTACATATACTATTTGGAAACACGTTTACATTCTACAGACATTATTTCAAAGTGTCCAATGAACACAGATGTAATATTTACGAATATCAAACAGCATATCAATTGCACAGTAAAATATGGCCCAGGGGCTATAATCCATTGGTGTAATCTGTTGCTGTGTCTGTATTTTAGCTGGGCCCTCCCTTTTAAAATATCAGAACAAAACATGTGCAGTACCTTTGAGCAATTCGTCCTCTCCTTTTGCTACACCTTTCAGCAGGCAGCCTTGGAAACCAAGTTCCGCCTCGGTTATCATCTTGCTTTCCTCCCTGTAGCTGGCAGTCTTCTCTCCAGGGTGAGGAGAAGCCATTATGGCTCCATGTCTTCTGTTAGCTCATTGCAGCCTAGCCTCTCTCTCATGTCAGTTTCGTCCACTTGTTTTGCTGCCAGAAACAAGATTTTTCATTTCAGCTGGTTTGTTATTTCAACTAGCTTGGCTAAGATTAATTAACAAAACACTGCATTTTGGTGTTCTCTGTGTCCTTTGCTAATTAAATCAACTTTCATCAGAGTTACTACTAGAGAACTTGTACTTTTGTTTTTCTTTAGTATTTTTTCTAGGATTCCAGAAGTTGATGAAAATATTCGTACCCCACAGCACATCCTAATTTCTCCCTTTCCAGTTAAAAAAATTATTTGTTTCCCTGTTTCACAATGAAATGCCAGTTGTTTAATACACACTACCTCAAACCTTTCTAATTGAAAATTTCTATTCTAAATTGAATGTGAAGCACTACTTGTATTCTTTTGTATTTCAACATATTGATTATTAGGGTAATTTACTCACACTTAAGCATTAACATCTACTACATGATGCAGATATAACTGTATTCAAATCCTGGCTTTATTACTTAAAAGTTCATGTGTTGGGCAATTGCTTTACTTCTCTGTGCTTCAAAAATGGAGATAAGAATATTGAAGTTCCTAATTATAGGGCTGTGGAGATTAAATGAGGTAATTGATATAAAATGCTTAGTACAGGACACTTGCTAAGTTTAGTTTTTCTTATTGTTGATCTCCAGCAAAGGCACCCATATGTGTCTGAGGTGTCTGACTGCGGTTTCTGTGGGCATTCCCAGATTTTAATACAAACAACATAGCATCAAATTTTTGCTATATCAGTCCAAACCATCGATGACTTGTAGATATTGATGTATTTGGAAAAATTAAATTTTGTTCTTTCACAGATACAGAATTATTACTTTTCCCCTTTGTTGAAACTGCAAATCCATTATTAACTCATGGTTAATGGAAAATTGGCTGTAACAATAGTAGAAGTTTTACATGCTAGTCAGGCGGTGGTTTTGCTAAAAGCTTCATTGTGGGAAGTCTATACCAATGGTCCCTGACTTATGATGGTGCAAAAGCTATACAAAGTTATACAAAGAAACTGTGTTTTGAATTTTGGCCTTTTCCTAGACTCCAGCTGCATGGTATGATCCTCTTGTGTGACGTGGGCAGCTGCACCATCATGAGGGAAAACAACCAATAACAATTATCAGCAGTGGTCCCCGTAGAGCCATTCTGTGTTTCAATTTCATTACCGTACTCAATAAATTACATGAGATATTCAACACTATTATAAAATAGGCTTTCTGTTGGATGATTTTGCCCAACTGTAGACTATAATGTAATTGTTCTAAGCACATTTAATTTATGATGTTCAGTAGATCACGTGTTAAACACATTTTTGACTTACAGTATTTTGCACTTACAGCGGGTTTTTTGGGACATAATCCCACCATAAATAGAGGAAGATCTGTTTTGGGAAGACTCTTTCTCTTTGAGCAAATCTGCAGATAATAGTGGCCTCAGCAAAAGAAGAAAATGCCTGATTAAATTCACTCTATCACCATCTGCTAAATGACTGCCTATGGTACATTTAAGGAGAATTTTACTCATATTCTGATCATGTGACTAGAATGATTATTAATAATCAGTTTAGTTTTTGCCTCGATCCTTCAGATGAATTTTGGGGACTGAACTGTAATGAACACTTTGCCTTTAGATTTCATTCTCTATTATTCTCCATATTATCATCCCTAAGTCTGACTTCCAGACTGGAACAGTAACTGGAACAGAGAGGCTCTGCAGGTCAGAGATGGAGTGAGAGTGCTTCCCCTTCTGTGGGTCACCTTGGAAGTTCTAGGGACCTTCTGCTAAGGCTGTCTTCTGGGAGGAACTCTGTCTTACTCACATCTCATTGGATTGTAAACAGGTTGAAACCAACCTGTTGCTCCTTGTCTGAGAAAGCTGAGTACTGGCTGTCCTGTCTTCTGATTCAGTAAAGATATCTGGGAATTAGAAAGCTCCTGGCAGAGCTTATAAGACAATATCATAATGGAAACTGATGAAGTCACACGCTAGACAGTTCCAATTTCCTTATATGCAACTTAGATGGAATAACAATAGATCTCACTGGAAGACTTGGGGCCTGATAATTAGACTGTGTTATTCACACTTTGGCCTCTGCAAGAAGAAATGTGACTCTCCATTATGACAAGACAGGTTATTGGCTTAATTATCCTTTGGTATATTTTTCTATACTGTGAAGCTGTCTTTAGTTGGAGCTCAGTAATTTCACTTTAAGATACTCAATCATATAAAGTTTAAAAGATCTCTGAAAATCTCTCAGCGCTAAAACAGTTTAGATAGTGGTTTTTTAGATAGTGGTTTGAGTAGCTGAACCCATTCTTTGCCACCTAATTGCATTATCTTCATCCATGTGGTTTCCTCGAGAAAAGATTCAGAGATATCGACTGCAGCTTCCATTAGAGATGTTTTCTCACTTCTGTAAATTACGTCACTCTTCTCACGGACAAGTCTTCAGAACTCTCAGCTTTCCTCTCTGGCTACGGAGTGTGAGTCATCCTTTAATCAGAAACTCAGCCTTGGAAATTATACTTGTATGGTTAGATCTTCAGAAAGAAACACACTTGAACTATATTATCTTAGATTATGTGGTTCACTGGAGAAATGCATGAATCAGGTCTGACATTATGCCCTTGCATTTTATAGAAGACAACAATGAGAAATGTGCACATGCTATCTTTCTGTAGTTTTCTCAGCTGTGATTGCAGAGATTAACTTTAATGTTATGTTGTCTTTTTTGAGAAGATCCACATGATAAATTCCATTTATGAATTCAGTTCCTACAGCCAGAAAATACTTGCTTTTGCATATGGATTTCTATGTTTCCTTTTTATCAGGCCATGAGAAATACGCAATTTAATGTGATTCTTTTTTACTTTTCCTCTTTTCTCTCCTGTTTCCTGGTTGGTTTTCTTTCTCTCTTTGCCCTCGTCCTTTACTGTTTATTCCCCGTTCCCCTCCTTTTCTGTCCTTTTTCTTACCTTCTCCTCTCAAATCCTCCTCCCTTCTCTTTGTCTCTGCATAGAGACCTAGTAAAGATTATTTCTCTGCTGCTTTCTTCCTTAATTCTTTCTTATATTTTATAACATTGTAAGTATGCAGTTTCATCCTTTTTGGGAGTAGTCATCTGTAGATTGATCCCTCGCTCTATCTCTGCATCTATTTATCTATCACTTTATCAGTTACCCATGGCATTCTCAGCTTTATGCAGATGTTATGTCTTAACAGATGAAGATGTAATGGTTCAGCCCAGATTTGAGTGATGAATTATATTACGATAGGGTCTATTGTACTTTTCTTTGACCTTATATTAAGTCATCAAATCCAAGAGCAGTTTTATTTTTTACCTTTGGTTGATTGTAATCTTTTGGCCACAAAATGACGCCCTCATAGGTGGTCACAGTGCTGCCATCCCTTTGCTCTCCACCTTGCTTCTCCTGACTTTTTCAAGCAAATCCTCCCAATTGCATTTCCTAACAAGCAGACCAGCTAATTTCATCGTCTCTTGCTGTGCCTCCCTTGTGTCTGAACTGAGCACCTCACTCTTGTTCCTTCCAGCTCCGCACGGCCTGGATCTGTGGAGAGTCCTGAGACCAGCTGAGGCAGATGGAAAAAGGCCAGTGCAGCTGTTATGGAAGGTAACCCTCATTCTGGGATTTACTTTTTTAAACCCACATCCAAGAACTGTGATTCTTGAACTTTTACCTCCTGAATTTCCTTTCTTAGGGACTTTATGATGTCCCAAATCTCACAATGGTTTCCCAGCTAAAAAAGAAAACCTCTTATAGGCTACCTTGTGGATGGCCTGAATGTACATTACAGACCCTGAACACCTCTTTGATCTGAAACATTAACATTTGGGACAGGTACAAAAGTACAAGTGCTGGAGGCACCTTGACCTTTTAGAGAAAATCACCCCTGGATAAGAGCACTGATGTGGGGTCGGCTCACTAGAGTGTACTCAGATCATGGCAAACATATATGCATATATGCACCAGTGCCCCTTGGAATACTGGGATGGTGGGGTACAGGGGCACCACCAGGGGGCCAACGGTCCGTCTAGGCCGGAGCCCTGGGAGCGAGGAATGAAGGAGAAGGTAAGAGAAAGGACAGAGAAGGAGGGGAGGGGGAATGAACAGGAAAGGACAGGGGCAAAGAGAGAAAGAAAACCAACCAGGAAACAGGAGAGAAAAGATGGGGTCGGGGGGAGAAGAGAGGGAGGAGAGCAGGGAGATGCCAAAACTCTGTACTGTATCTCTAAAATTACCAGGAAATAGCATGTTATCTCATACTTGCTGAAGTCCAGGCCAGTTGAAAATCCTTTTGAAAATGCAGAAATGGCCCTGCTTTGACTAAGGACACTCCGCCCCCAGTTGCTGCAGGGCGAGAGCATCTTGGGCCTCCCTCCCCTCCCTTCCCACCCCCAGGGCCATGGGACACCCTCAGGCTGCAGAGGCAGCTGACCAGGGAGACACAACCAGCAGAGCCGGGAGATCTCTGAGAGTCAGTCCCAGATGGTGCTGGTTTTCTTCTCAGTCATCAAGTGTGGAAACAAACGACCCTGTCAATGCGTTCTGGGGAAAGGAAAGTAAATAATGGCATATACCCAAATGCCAACCTGTGGAGCAGGCAGGATGGACCTCAGTGCCCTCCGCCCCCTCCGCCTCCCCTGGGGACCGCTCTTCCTTTTTTCCTTAATAGGAGAGTTATCTAAGAACTAGAATTGGTTAATAAGAATGGATTAAAATTAGGTAGTAGTGACATGAATATACTTAAAGCTACTGAATTGTACGATTTAAAAGAGTGAATTTTATGGCATGTGAATTATATTTCAATAAAGCTGTTGTTAAAAAAAGAGGAAGTTGTTTTAACAGCTAAAAGGCACCCATCATTAGGAACATTCTAGCCGACCTTTTTATATTATGGGAGCTGTGGTGGAAATTCCTGAACTGAGAGGGCAATGGGACAAAGTGTCTTGTAAAGTCCTCTCTGACCCTACATTCAGTCATTCTGCTGCATCTATGTGTGTTACCAGTAACAGAAAGTGAGCAACTGGAAAACCCTATAATTTCTGGGAAATACTCAGTATGCTGATCCCTAGGAAAAACATCTGATTAGTGAGCTCAGGTTCATGCAGTTTGGTTTGGAGCCTCTGGGGTCACCTTAGACTTCTTACCAAGGGTTGGAGATGAGTAGGGCAGCCCCGAATGTTTTAGTCTCTTGGCTGGGGCACCGGGGTGCCTGGTCCAGGCCCTGCATGGAGTTGGAGTGGGTGTGGG